TACACACACACACACACACACACACACACACACACACACACACACACACACACACGTGCACAGTTGCCACACACCTAGATCAACTACCTAGCTCGTTTCTGTGCAGGTGGAAGCTTGACACCGAGGTGATATCTTAATCGATTTTCCAACTTTTTCAACACAACGAGCCTGAAAATTCCAAGTAATGTTCTTTAATTTGTTAATCCTTTACAACGTAACTTCTCGGGGTTTCGAGATTGATACCTTCATGTGCGCCTATCCGTTTAAGAAAATCACACCAAAAAATGGACATGCTTGAAATCTCCACGGCAGTTTTGTCGGTTTACTTAATCTAAAAAAAACCCACCTCAGTTCAGTTTGCTTATTGCGTTTCTTTCCAGTTGGAAATAGCTTCTGTAAAACCATTTTGATTGCGTCAGTCTCTTTATCTGCGCTGCAATTCTTTTTCTAATCGGTTAACCTGAGATCCCAGGAGCACTTCTCATCGCGTCGGAAGCCAAAATGTAAAAGTAGTATGTTCTTTTCTCTTTAAGCTGGGCAGAAGTACTTTTGATTTTAAAAGTGCTGCAGTTTTCTCTTTCAACTTAGCATTAACGTTATTTACGTTTTTACAGCCCCAGGCAGTGGGGTGAAAGAGGTTTTTCAACTCTTGAACGTATCACAACCAAACTGGAGTGTCTGCAGCACGGCGTCGAGGTGGGTGGTTAATAGAATGTGTCACCTCTAACCGTCTATCTGCTCAATTGTTGCACTCAGTCTTCTGGCTCACCTCAGACAATCAATCTTTCAACCAATTTAACCATTAATATAACTATGAATCTAAAGGTCAATATAGCTAGCTGTCTAACTATCAACGTACTCACTTCCGACGATCAATCTAATCATCAATATAACTATCAAGACAACTGTCAAACTAACTATCAATCTAATCATTGATCTAGTTATCTATCTATCGATCAATTTAACCATCAATATCAGTCTTATCATTTATATGACTATCAATCTACTCACCTCTGGCGAGCGATCAATTTAATCATCAATATACGATAAATCTAACTTTCATCCTAACTACGGATCTAATCAACAATCTAACCATTAATCTAACTATCAATCTAATCATCAATATACCTATCGATCTGACTATCAGTCTGATTATTAATATACCTATTAATCTAACTATCAATCTGTCTATATACCAATCCATTCACCAATACAAGCATCACTGTATTCATAAATCTACCGATCTTAGAAGATCAGTCTAACCATTGACATACTATATCCATCCAGCGATCGCTCTAACCGTAAATCAACTCAAGTTTAATCATAAATGTACTCACTTCTACCTACCAATTTAACTCACCACTAACCTAAGATCTATTCACCTCTAACCATTAATCCACACATCTCTAACCATCAATCTAACCTTAAATCTACCCAGATCTAACCATCAATTGAGCTATAAACCATCTACTCATGTCCAACCATCAATCTAACTATAAATCTACACCTCTAACCATCAATTTAACCATAAATCTATTCATATCTAACCCTCAATCTAATCATAAATCCACACATCTCTAACCAGCAATCTAACCATAAATCTATTCATTTCTAACCCTCAATCTAACCATAAATCCACACATCTCTAACCAGCAATCTAACCATAAATCTATTCATCTCTAACCATTAATCTAACCATATACCATCTACTCACCTCTGACCAGACTGTCAAAGACAGCGTCTCCAGTGCTGGTGTCAAAGGTCAAGGCCTTGAAGTGCAGCTTGCAGTAGTATGGTCTGGGGTTGCTCCCGTTCCTCTCTGTGTCGTCTTCACGAAGCAACATGTCGGCGATGGCGGAATACAGAGCCGCGTCATACGACCCAGGTTTGCCCAGAACGCCTGTGGACGATGAGGATGGGATGACGATACGACGACGATATGATGACGTCAAAGTGTCACTGAGTCGTCACATATTATTGGATTGTTTGATTATTATAGAAAAGCAAATAGACACGGTAACGTGAATGCAAAGAAAAAGCCAGACTGAAAGACAAAAAAGAGCGAGTTTTTTTGGGTTTTATTTATGAAGTCATTTTAAAGCCCTTGATCGACCTAATTTTCACAATTAAGAAGGCAGACTTAGACCCTGTTTGGTAGGTTCAATTCAGGCTGGGACGTATGCCGCATCCCAGCAGAAAAGCCGAGATATTTGATAAGAAATATATTAACTATTCTCCCCGCCTGCGAATCGAATTCGGGTCTCTTGCGTGTCACGGCGAAGTGCCAAACTGTTACATCACAGACGCTGATAAGATGCTATTGAATCGTGACATATTATTGGACTGTTTGATCAAAGAAAAGCTCATAGACACAGCAACGGTTATTTGGTACAAATATAAAGCAAGACTGATAAACAGAGAAAGTACTGGGAGTTAAGTTTTAGTATAAAAATAACCATCAGCATTGTAACGGTCGTAATGTAGTTTTAAAAATAGGGGAGAGAGAAAGTGAGAATGGAGGGAAAGATAGAACGGAAAAGAGACTGAAAGAAAGTGAGTGAGATAGGGAAAGGGACAGTGAGACAGAGAGAGAGAGAGAGAGAGAGAGAGAGAGAGAGAGAGAGAGAGAGAGAGA